TAATAGAATGGTTGTGAGCAGAAATCAATGTACGACTTGATGCTATGCATCATCCTAAGATATAACCAAGAGTTCACAATAATTCTGCAACCTGGCAATATATTTTTGACATTGATGCGAATTGAATGACCCAAATAACAGCAGAACAATCTACAAGATCACAGAAATCTACAGACCATGTCAAATACTGCATGCATCAATGAGAGAACATATTAACTTAATGTTACATTGAAAGACTACCAATCTTTCGAATTTACTCTTAATGCAATGTATGCTGACCTTTTATTTTATCTTATATTATTAATATGAATTGAAGGTTTGTTTTTACACCAAATGAAATTAACGCCTGGAAAATATATCATAGTCATGAACACTGCTGTTGTTCAACCTTACCTGCTAAGTTTGATCACTTCCAGTATTTCAAACCATCCAGTTCTTATTTCTGTCACTGATCCTACAGTAAGCGGATGTTGCTACTTCCTTTAATTGGTGAGCAATTGAATGTAGCGGTTTGTATACCATGTGTGTTTGCTCAACGAAGTGCCAAATAAAGTCTTTGAGTGACATTTAAATCAATTATAGTGAAGTCAACGCGCCTCTAAAATAATCATTAATTTCTTGGGCCCACAGTGCTTCATTACTTGTATTTTTTCCAGTATGGTCTGAGATCAATCTGTTTGGAGATTAATACAACAAGATGAGAACGGGAAGCCTATCCTATCGCCACCTCACCTTGCCTGGCTTAGGGTAGTGGCTACCCGGGTGTCCGCTGCCAGCCACGGTCCTCACAGTCGCGTGCCAAGTGAGAGAGAGATATAAAAGAACCCGGTTCCAAACCCACTGGGAGCAGAGCCCTGCACGCACGGGTTGAAACAGTTTCCACTGAAGCACAGCACGACCGTACGTGTGTGTACACGTCCCCTTTTATCCTGCGAAACCTCAATTTTCCGCGAATTCGAAGTTGTTGTACCTTGTTGGTCACGGTCGGCAGGAATCCATAAAACACCGCAGAAATTTGATGTAGAATGTCGCAAGGTCAAGCTCTGGGCATTTGCGGCTTCTCAGGGACGAGAATATATCTTCTGTGATGCGGAACAGCGGCTGACAGTGCCTTGCCGGGCTAGTAGGCGAGGAAACTTTCTTCCTAACATAAGACAAGCTTGCAAGACGCGCGCTCAATTTTGTATCTCCTCCCCGGAAGTTGTCACACTAAAGAATGTGGGAAGTGACCATTCACTTTAGAGGGAGGGACGCTGTTGAAATGTTTTAATAGCCAACTGTAACGTTAAAGTGCTGTTTTCACCTCCAGTTGCGAGAAGAATGAGCTGACAGGAACACTGAAATAAAATTCCTTTTTGTGCCATAATGATTTTTTTATGCCATAACACCTTTTTTATGCCTGGCATAATGCATTAGTCTCAATCAGACGACCCGGGTCCAGGTAGGCATATATCATTTTTATTAACTTTGTTTGAATGCAATCTCCAAACAGATGTTGGATTTGAAGATCACAACTTCTACAGCGCGAGGGCTGGCTGTCAGAGAAGTCAGAAACCGTTACGATATGTTTATCCCCAACATCTGCTTGGAGATTACAAATATTGATATGCGTTGTACGACATCGGATGACCAGCAAACCTCGTTGCCTCGCCTAAACAAATACTTAGGAGAGAATAGACATGATGACGGCAGAATATGGGGTATTCCGTTCGGCACAAAAAACTGCCAGGTTCCTTTATGCAGCAGTTTGTAAAACTAAGTAATCCTCCTCGGTAAAAAAATCCTGATCATGTTACCTAGTACGTAGAGAAAGACCATGTTTTTCGATTGTTTCTAATGCTTCCATCAAGGATGTAACATTACGTGTACTTGATCAAAAATGAAACCACAACTTAACAAGATGGTACATCGATATAATCCGGTGCACGCTACAATGCTACAGTTTATGCATACCACTTGTTTTACAAGTACCCATGTAAATAGTTTGGGTAAAGACATTTGTCATGTCATTTTTTGCATGCTCACAACTTAAATACGCAGCTCAGTCCCCTCAGTCAGTCACAGTCCATCACTACAACTATGAAGGTTTCTGATTGAACCTCTCGTGTTAGAACCGAGGTTTCAAAATAGTATTCTCGACTTTCTTGAATTTTGCTTTTCAGTAACAGAAACTTAAGACATTAAAATGTTTTTATTTTAAATTATAGGCCAAAGGTGTTTTACCAGGGCGTGTCAGAAGTCAAACGTCTTCAAGTTCATGACGATGGGAAATCAGAAGTAAATTGATATTTTCCACGTAATTACAAGCAAAGAATCAGATGCAGCATTACTTTTCAAGTCTGACAAGCTTTATTGATCATATATAACAATCTTGATTAATGAAGAGTAACTTTTCAATGACTCGCACCTCTCCATCTTGACAGAATATACTTTCATACTTTAAATCTAATGATATCCGTAGTATCGTTTTCATTTTGCGT